ATGTATAGATGAAGGCATAAATCTACCACTTTATATCTTCAAAATGAACGCATCAAGTGATTGATTCTGCGATTTAGGTTACAGTGAAAACCTGAATGTTAATTTAAAATGTTGAAAAAAATCAACCTTTATTTCAACTTAAAAGTTCTGGACAAGGGAAATTGGTACTCATGTTTCAAGACATTCTTCTAAACATCATTTAAGGATCAATGAAATCATAATTCCCGTTGACTGTTGACCTGTCCAACGTGTGCATTGAATTGTGCAATACTGGAGGTGGCGAGAGCGGCACTCAGAGTTGATGCATTCGGATCGAAATTCTGTGAGAAGAAGATCAATTTGTTTTTAATAAATCCTAAGAAGACAGATGTCGATTCGTTCATTTTGGTAATCTCTATCTTAAAATGGAAATCACTGTTCACGCACAAGTAAGCGTTGAAAAGCTAATCACCGGTGCCAGAAATCCACGGACTGAGTCCTGTCACGATAGTGATATCATTACATAGAAAAACACTTTGTATTCGGTCAAAAACTACACATTATTGTGATGATAAAGTATAAGATAAGCACTTTGACTATATGTTTTAGTATTACTTCTGCGTGAAGTCAACAATTTACATAGTTGAAGATGCTAATTTTAAATAACAGACTATAGTGGTAATTTTTATACGATAGATGAGAAAATGAAAGTATAGAATTGATAGTTCCGTTAGGGTACGGCAGTATGAAAATTGCATATAGAGAGTAGAAAGCGAGCAAGGACAACTTAAGGAAGGTACAAATCGGTTTGATCATCTCTCTTTACCAAACTCCCCCGTTGGAGAGGGATGGTGAGGGGTATTCCAAATAAAAAGGTTATAAGTGAAATCGGTCCCTATTTCGAAAATAGAGAAAATTAAAATAGGCCCAATTGAAAAATTATACCATCTTAATTGATGAAATCGAAATTGACCAGCAGTAGAATAAAATGAGGCAATAGTACACAGACGGAAAAGTACACACTGGTCCGAAATACCGGTAAACGAAAAAATTGACCAATTATTTTCAGTTGGATTGACGCCTCTACTAAATACAAGCTTACTAGAAAAATATTACTATTTTTTTTTGGAAGTGGTATTACGATATCATGGATGAAGATTATAACCTAAGTATTCCAGGATTATTATTGGTTTGTATCATAGGTATTTTATGGTATGTATCAGCAGACGATATAGGATAAATGTAATTTATGGGACACCCTTTTCATTATTGACTTCGAGTGGTGCAAGAGTACGAATGGCTTAAAATGGTGATCAAATCGTTTCGGTTTTGAAAAATGTTGATAGGGCTTGTTTTTAATCTGTAATTAGTATGCTTTATGAAAAAATATGTCCAAATAATTTAATTACATCAGATTTGTACAATTTTATTAAAATTTCTATCGCTAAAAAACTACCAGCTGTCAACACATTAATAAAGAAAACAGATGAATGCATTAACATAATGACAAATTAAAGTCCACTTTTGCTATTAAAAAGCATTCATTGAATTCAAATATACATTTCCAAAATATTTAATAAAAAGTGCACTCTTGCCCCACCAGCTCGATAAAAGTACGCAACTGGAATCCTTTAACTAAATTTAATAGAAGTTGAAAATGAGCGAAGGGCCATTAATGTGACAGTTTTTCAAGATAGACGCACATTTTTGGCTAACCCGTACGATGTACGCGGGGACTTGAAGTATGTCTCCAAGTCCACAGGCAGTGGACTTGGAGACATACTTCAAGTCCCCGCGTACATCGTACGGGTTAGGCAAAAATGTGCGTCTATCTTGAAAAACTGTCACATTAATGGCCCTTCGCTCATTTTCAACTTCTATTCAATTTTCATACTGCCGTACTCTAACGGAACTATCCACCTACCCTCTTCTAAAGATCATTCTCTAGCTAATAAATCATCACACTAAAGCTTCATGTTAGCATTTCCAACCAACTCTGAAAATCGTTAACTTCGCGTATGAAGTAACATAAAAACACTTTGAATGTAAATTTAATGTTTAAGAAAAATGTCGTGATTTTTTAAATAGCATTCTATAAGGGATTGTGGCCAAAAATTCAAGGAATCGACACACGGCCATAAACTAAAATTATATGTTACGGTAAAAAAAAAATCATGGTGTTTAAAACTAAGTGCGTACTTTTGACCTCTACCTTTCTTAAAACCCTCTCCCCAAAACATGGCCGGTTCTGTAAGCCCGAAACGTACCGTGAGCTAAAGCACAGCGTGGTGCCATGCGGGTTGAGTTTGAAACATTGAAGTTGAACAACAAGAGAAAATTTGGCAAAATAAAGAACGACGAGTTTAGTGAATCATGACGACAAATTCTAAGAGGCAGCCCCACGGTGAAAATTAAAATCCCACAGAATTTCTCCATTTCCAGATTGCTTCAATTTTACATAGAACAAAATCTTAGTCGTTTGTCTATTTTTTGAATATACATACCTACTTCACGAATTTTTAACAATAGCATTACCGTTACCTTTAGCTGTTTTCTGACGCATTAGAAAATGTTGGAAAATCAACCAATGCTGGAAAAAAAAAATTCTAACTTTATAGGATTCCGCACTATACTCAATTCTGTTTTTTCGCCTCTATTTTTAATCGTGTGATTTCAAATTGCAACCAAAAATCACAAAAGTATAAAATGGTATTAGAAATGAGGCGAAAATAAAAAAATAAAAAAATCGCTAAAAAACAAAATTGAGTGTACTTTATTGAATGGGCGCTGTTCTCGTCGTATGTGTTAAAAACAATAAAGACCATACGTTTCATTCAGATCAGATAAGGCTTTAGATGACCTAGTCAATAAAAGCACGGTTTTACCAAGCCGGAGACAGTGGGTTCGAACCCCGGTCTGGTCTAGAGATTTGTCGGTTTGGAAAATTTCTCAACTTCCCTGGGCATAAAGTATCATTGTGCTTGCCACACAATATACAACACTAATTTGAGAGCAGGCACAAGCTGGTATAAGAGCTTCAAAGTCAGGAAGAAGAAGAACGTTTCAATCAAATGTTGTTACCGTTTATTACAATTGGTTGTGTATTTCTGTATGTTTATCGTATTCTGCATCCACCACAGCATCACCACCGTCGTATCCTCCACCACCACCACGTACAGCATAACCGCCCAAAAGATCCAGCAGTCGCCGGCTGGCCAGGTATCTGTAGAAAACATACACTATACACGCCACACACACACACAGCATGTAATTTGTAGGGAAATAAACCTCTAAAGTGTAATTCAGTAGCTTTTTCATTCAATCACACTATATCCGAGTCTTGATTAGTCCGGTAAATCACTCCAGCCGACCTTGAGGCTAAGAATTGACCTCCAGATCGAACTAGCCATGAAAAGAGGTCGTTGGATGACCCACCCTCATTGGTAGGCCGTTGCTTAGCCAAGGTGTTTGTCCTGGTAGCCCCCTAGGTACCCCACCCGAACAGTAACAATCTGTACACTGAAAAGATGTTTCACTTAAAGCACATAATATTTTTTCTAAAACAAAAATAATGATTTTCATCTGAATATCACATAACATCAGAATTTCTATGTGAGTAATCATATAGATTTCATTGGACACATAAAGTTAATGTGATTTAGTGGTGCAATTTCCAATTATGGGATCACATGAAAGTTATGTGAAAATCACATGGATATTTTCCACTGGTTATGTGATTTATTTTATGAGTGTACCACTCATAAGTGTAATTTTAGTCTTGTCAAGCGTTACTTATTGTTGCATAGGGAGGAGGGGGTCCAAAATATGGATTATATGCGTTACGTAATGTGTGTATCACTCCTAAGCTAAACTATGATCGGTGTAAGTAAGGGTGATTTTATTCCCCATATGACAAAGAAAAGTTGAGTATGCCGACGTGGCACAACACTCTATAAGAAAACATACTAACAATCAGTTGCACAAACACCTTCGGGGATTTTCAAATGTTTTGCAATACCTATTACACGGATTGTCACAAATTCTAGGACCTCCTCCACCCCTCAAGAGTGCATGTCATATTTGAAACGCCACTTCTCAGAATTTCAGGACACATAAGTGATAAAAGAAAAATAAAATCAATAAAAGCATAACTGTTCCACCTCTACATGAAATCCTATTTATACGGGACAGCTATGCTTTTATGGCTAGCAAAGTAAATGAAGAAAAAATCACTATGTTTTCCTACACACGTCGTTGTTCCAAGTGGATGATATAATGGGATGGGAATAAAAATAAATTCATCAGCGAAGATCATTATTCGTCTACGGCTAGGGCTTCTTTTTTCGACGCATGCATGTCCCTGGAAGAGCAAGAAAAACATGCACACAACGGGTATCAATTCAAGGGGAGAAGATAGGTCCAAATAGAAATATATGATGTTTCAACTTTAACCCGTATGATGCCAAAAATCATTCTGCTGAAATCCCACATCATACGGAAATTCAAAAGTCCATAAAGAACCTACACGGAACCAACATGTGACTGACGATTGACACGCAATAAGAGGGATGCCGAAATCGAATAGCACCGCCACGCTCAGAACACGATCGACTTATGCACGTGACCCTTATGTGAACTGCTGTTGGGAAGACTTTACAGCACACAAAATTTCGTCCGCCGCGAGACCCTCACTTAAGTCATACCTACAAGTCATGCGTAGTCCGTGCGGGTTTTTTTTTTTGTTGCTTTGTTTTTCTTTTGTAATGCACCAAGCGGGAGATGAGTGCGATGAGTAATGCAACCATCATCATTCCCATACACATCATGCTTCACCGCCATGAGAATGAAGTAAACATAGCAAACTATACAGAACATAGCTCCGCCTCCACGACGCTGCCCAAGCCATCAGGGGTTCAAAAATGGCTGCTTGGATTGGTTGCTAGGGAGGAGTCTCTTTATTGATTTTAATTGAGTATAAAAAGCTGATCAAGACCTATGCTTAATTCATTGATAATTTTGCATTTGCCCTGATACCGCGTTACTCTCAGATTGAGTCCGTGCCTTCGATCGACATTGTGTGCCATTAATATTTGAATCAAATTCACTTTCGTCCTCATAGGAACGGGATGATTGTTCCGCGCGGTTCCACTCTCTCCTCGCGCATTCGCGGCCTTTATTAAGATAAATCAGTGTGCCTCTATTAATTACAGTGTTATTTATTGACTTAGTGAAAATACGGCAGTGATTTAGCAAAGTGATACAATTAAAATTAGCGTTAATTGAAATTTAATTGAAGCTGATTGGTTTTAATGAAATTGCTAGAAAATGGAATCAGCTGGTTTTGATGATCAAATATTTAGTGATTTTAATGATACCCTCAGTCCGCTCAGTGCGAAAGCGATTCAAGCCGGAGGACCAAGTGGTCACAATATACAGGTGGTGCTGGGAATAAATCACCCTTCACCGGATTCCTGCACGCAGCGGTTGCCCGAAGTGAATAGTATCCTTGCAGCAGGATCGCCTAGTTATAAAAGCATCGATTATACTAATTTAAATAAAGTGGACTACCATCCAAATGGAAAAATTGATTCTCAATACTCACCTAATTCCGGAAAAATGGAATACATCAACTGTAAGCTCGAATATTTCTCTCCGCCACTCAATGTCGATAATAATCCGAATAAAATAGAATATGTTAAAACCCTAGATTACAATGCCAATGGTCGAATGGAGTATTCGCCCCCATCGAAGGCAACAGACTACGGAAATGGCAAGCTGGAATATGAAACCACCATGACCATGTTCCAGCAACCTCCACCGATGAATCCCACCTCGCTAAATGGTTTGAACGATCCAAGCAAGCGGAAAAGTGATGAAGTGAACAGTGCATCTGGATCATCAACTCCTACCACGACTACGCCAATTACAAACGGCAATGGAAGTGATTGTGCGTCAAGTTCCAATAAAAAGAACGACAAGAAAAAATCTGACCCTAACGGAATTAAGAAGAAGAAAACGAGGTAATTGCAGTCTAGAAAGTTTTCCACTGATTGTAAATGTATGTATGTATGTAAGGTAGCCACCATCCCTTCAAAGATCTTAATTTTTCCACTGATTGTAAATGACCAGTTAATAGAACCTCTGCTAACAAATTAAGTGATTGGCTAGCGGTTTTATTGATAGTTGTTTAAATGTCATGAAAATATTTTAATGATCAAAAATTTACTAGCTCAGATTTGATCAAAGCAGGAGTGAAAACCCCATGAAGCGGATGCTAATTAGCCCATGAAACAGAGTTTTCAAACCTACTTGGATTGCGAACTGTAATCCACTGAATCGGACATAATTTGGGGCGGGAGACCTTAACTGAATGCATCAAAATATGTTGAACACTAGTATTCTCTTGATCTACACTTAAAATCAAAAGTATTCGTAGATCAAAAATTATTGGGCACTACAAACTATATTTTCTAATGTTTTCAAAATTATTTCCATACAAATATATCTTAAGTCTGGTACGCAGCTGAAAAGTGCTAGGGAATAGGACACGGAATGCTAAAGAAATTACTTTTCCTTAGCATTTCTTGACCCACTACGCAATTCAAAAGAAATCGGTAAAGGAAAGATCGACTACATTAGTATCGCGATCGACATGGAGGTGGCGCATTATGAATGAAAGTTCACGTTCCTTGCGGAATAATTGTCTGATCAATTATTCCATTAGGTAATTTTAATGTTTGTTGTAAAAATAATGTAATGTAAAATAAGTAATTTTTGGAGATTATTCCCTACAGAATAATTGACAGCTATAGGGAGGTGTCTTTTACTAAATTCTGAGATCATAACGAGGTGTCGTCAAGTTTTAAAATAAACAATATTTAATCTTTTAAATGTGTAGAACCTCTTAACGAAACCCCTTAATGAAGAGCTTTGAGCGTGTTGGTTTATTTCCTTTTAATTCCGTTACTATTGCTTATCTTTTGACAAATTGACGAAATATGCGTATCTGTCAAAAGATAAGCAATTATAACGGAATTAAAATTAAATAAACCAACACACTCAAAGCTATTCAAAACAATATTTAATTTTTATTATAGCCTGGTACGCAGCTGAAAAGTAATGACGTTTTTACGTGCTACGGGATAGGACACGGAATGCAAAAGAAATTACTTTTCCTCAGCATTTCTTGACCCAGTACGCAGTTCAAAAGAAATCGGTAAAGGAAAGATCGATTACATTAGTATCGTGATCGACATGAAGGTGGCGCATTCTGAATGCAATTTCACTTTCCTTGCGGAATAATGGTCTGATCAATTATTTCGTTAGGTAATGTTGGCGTTTATTGCAAAACTGATGTTTTGGATGCATTTAAACAACATAAACACTAATAAGTGTTGATTTTACAATTTGACGACATCTCGCTATAATCTCAAAATTTAGCAGACTATAGCTGTCAAATTTTCTTTTGGGAAAAATCCTCAAAAATTACTTTTCCGTTTTCTTTTCAGCTGCGTACCAGGCTTATGTTGTTAAAATGCATCCAAAACATCAGTATTGCAACAAACGTCAAAATTACTTAACAAAATAATTGATCAAATCATTATTCCGCACGGAAAGTGAAATTTCATTCGGCATGCGCCACCTTCATGTCGTTCAAGATACTAATGTAATCGATCTTTCCTTTACCGATTTCCTTTGAACTGCGTATTGGGTCAAGAAATGCTAAACAAAAGTAATTTCTTTAGCATTCCGTGTCCTATCCCGTAGCACGTGAAAACGTCTTTACTTTTCAGCTGCACACCAGGCTTACAGGTGTACTATAATGATAATAATCTCAATCCGACTTTCGATAATCCAACAATACCGGATTAAATAGTGGACAAACTCAATTTATAATAGGCCGTTCGCTTCAAAACTGACCCCTAATAGTCTATAAACCAACAGTATGTATTATCTAGAATACTTGCCGTAATCTATTTATTTTTTCGAGATTTTCCCAGAGATATTCAATGTTTGTTCGTCCATTGTTATTTATTGTTTGTCTTATTTGAGTGATGTGGACATAAAATGGAAATATTATTTGCATCGGCCATATTAACTAAACATGAATCATTCCAATTGTTTTTGTTACTTCATACGTGAAGTTTACAATTTTTCAGAGTTGGGAGTAAATACTTTACTAATTTCAACAAGCTTTAGTGTGATTAATTTACTAGCTAGAGAAAGTTCTGAATAGGATAGGTTGATAGGCTGGAGTACGGCAGTGTGAAAATTGAATAGAAGTTGAAGTTGACCCATTAATGCGACAGAGCTACTGGATAAGGGGACTTGAGGTATTTCCTCATATCTACAGTAAAAAGAATGCGCGTTTGACTAGCTCATATACTCTGTGGTTGTGAAATAGTTCTAGCGACGTTTATCACTACCTAATGAGGTGTTTACATCTGTGCGGATTTGTTAGCGCTAGTGTATTTCCAGGCGATGGTGTGTTATAATGCAATTCCGAGGGGTACGCAATACAAAGAACCGGTGCGTTGAAGTTAAAATGCAATCAAAAGTACGTCAAGTAATTAATGCGTTTTGAAGTAGTACTGACGGTAATAAAAATTAACTATCCGTACTTAACGTAATAAAAAGTATTGAAAATATATTTAAGGTACTATAATTACGAAATTTCGACTGTAATTAATGGACTTAAAAAGTAGTTATTGTTCTACACTGTGTAAATAATGTAATTAAAGCAGTAGTTAATGGAATTAATTTAATAACAGGCGTTGCCTGCGTTGGAGTTAAATGTTATTGCTTGCCCCTAGTGCAATTCTTCTTTACCTAACTGTTGTTGTTCTCTCGTCATGACCAACGTAGTCATCTCAGAGAGAAGCAGTAGGGTGGTGTTGCGTGCCGTACCATCATCAGCATTATTTACGGTAATTACAATCAAAGTATTTTTTGTTACTTCATAAAGCTACATGTTGATATTAGTACAACTTGAAAGTTAGTGCCATCCCACAATTTGCTATGTTTTAAAGTACCCTACAATTCACAAAACAGATGCAACCGAGTAACCTAGGTAATGCGGTGATATTTTTGGGGAGGGCAAGGTATGGCAAACTCACTACAGATTACATTTAAACTAAGAAAAGCTGAGTGTATCAATTTATGGTGTCCCAAAGCAGCTTTAAAATACACTAAATGACTGATGATGTCAATTTATCAGTTGCCCTAGTATCACGCTTCTCACAAATCAATTGTAGGAACTTATATACGACTTATTTCAGTCATAAACAAGTTGCTATAACTTATTGTGATGCAAGTGTGCTACTCGGGTGATGCCACCCTTTGATTTGAACGCTAGTATTCATCACCATCCGTTGGTAACGAAAGCTGATAAACTGCATTTTACAATGTATAGGTATATAAGAAAGTATACATTGAGCCTTATTCTTAGATATAATTTTCTACGATAGGGGAAGGCCCAGGTGTAGTGGTTAACATCGATACCTATCACGCCAAAGACACGAGTTCAAATGTCATCCCCAGACAAGTCATGATTGACCCAAGTGTGTTAATTTGACTATAATAATAATAGTACTAATAATAATAATCTTCTAGAATACTGCTGCGCCCTCTCTTGCAAAACAGAGAATAGGTACACTAACATAGAATTTGCATTGCAGTAGCATGCATCTGCATTTGTCATATTTTTTATCGTCAACAATAAAGAACGTGCGCACTAATAAACAAACACCATAAACGAACGATAATCAAAATAATAAAACTATTCTACACATGGATTGGGTGATACCTTGAACACTTAAGCGCATTAATGGCGATTTTCTATTAGGGCATACCATTCCATGAAGGTGAAAATGGTCCTACTTTTTATTCGTTAGTGCTATTTTCAGATGAAGTAATTTGTATTCATGTGATTTATGAATTGTTTTTCCAATTTAGATATTCATTGGCCATTGAACATATAGTGTAAGAGACATTGAGGTCTGACAGCTAAACAATTGTCAGTTTCAAACATTTAGTGGTCGCTGACTTCTTGATGATGATGATGTTCCCACCACTTACTCCTACAAAGGTTTGAGCTGTTCGATTTATCTTTAAGATAATTAAGTACGACATGTTAACCAGATTAGCAAACAAAAACGAACTGGTTACAATTACAGATATAAACTCCCTCAACACTTCTCAGCTGCTTCATAGCGATATAACAGTCAAAAAGCTTAGGCGTTCACCACTTTGTCACTTTTTTGTCCACCGTAAATATTCACAAGCATTGACAGCGACGGATAATCAACAAAGCATTCTAATACACTAGCAACCCCGCAATCTGATACTATCGGGGGGTGACCCCGGCGTAGTGGTTAACATCCATACCTCTCACGCAAAAGTCACGAGTTCAAATCTCACCCTCGGACAAGTCACGAATGACCCAAGAGCGTTAAAGTGACTATAATAAAAAAAAAAAAACCCGACATTCAGCCAGAAAACTTACTAATAATTCAAGGCAGCTTCCAAATAAGCTTAAATATTCCATTTTATTTTTTTGTTTATCAAATGTTAAATTTAGTCCTTTATATTCGTAATACGCGCATGAAGCTCAAACCTTTGTAGATTACTGAAAATTACTTTTCTTATAACTACTACTATTAAATTAAAAATCCATCATCATCATCGTGGCGAACATAAATAGTTTTTATAGTGCTACAATAATTATTAAAAAAAAAGTCGTTATGACAGCTATCCATATAAAATAATCCGTTAGCGATAACTTCGTAAAGATACATAATTTGTCAATTCATAAAAAAAATCACTGAATAACTGTTCAAAAGACAGTTTTAGCGTGTGAAATGCAGTGCTTTTTAAATTCTGTAAGTGTTGTAACTACACGGGCGATCTGTTTTTTTTTTTATTATTATATTTACTATATCACTCTTGGGTCACTCGTGACTTGTCCAGGATTGAACTCGTGTCTTTGGCGTGAGAGGTATGAATGTTAACTACTACGCTA